TATCTGTGTTCAAATTACCTAAGGGTGTGACGAAAATTCTTAATAGACTGCAAACAGCCTTTTTGTGGGTGAGTTCTGAACAAAAAAGAAAAGTGCACCTAGTTAAACGAAAGGTGGTCACAATTAGTAAGAAGCAAGGTGGGTTAGACATGGTAAATCTAAAGGAAATGAATAGCAATCTCCTCTTGAAATGGTGGTGGAGATATGGGGTGGAGGAAAAGGCATTATGGAAGCAGGTTATTAATAGTAGGTATGTAGATATAGGAGGGGCTTGGTTACCTAATCTTGAGCCTTCTGGGAGGGTGTCTATTGTGTGGAATGGAATTCTCTCTGGTGTAGAGGTTAATGCAGATTTACATGCCTTTTTCCTATCCAATATTGAAATCATATTGGGTGATGGTAAGAGAGTGCATTTTTGGTTAGATAAATGGTTGAGGAACACTAAGCTTAAAGATGAATTCCCGAGGCTATTCAATTTGTCTACCGAGAATGAGGAGTCCCTGGATTTTTTTGTGCGAAGAAAGGAAGTAGTAGGGGGCTGGAATCTATCCTTTAGAAGGCCTTTAAAGTTTTGGGAGGAGGCTGAGGTTAATAGGTTATATTTTCTGCTAGCAGAGGCACCATCCCTAAGACCAACCCTCCCATATTCTATTAGGTGGCAGAGGTCTCCAACTGGGCGATTCACAGTTGCTACAGTAAAAGATTGGTTGGCTGCTCATCATGGACCAAAGCTGTTGATACCCACACTATTACGGGGTAATGTGGCTCTTCCTAGAGCTCAATTTTTGGGTTGGTTGATCTGGAAGGGTAGAGTTAAAACCGCTGATTTTATGCATAGAATTGGAGTACTTAGCAGCAGTGTAAGCAATGTTTGCCCCTTTTGCAAAATTGAACCTGAATCTTTGAACCATATTTTCTTACTGTGTAGGGGCATTTGGGAGTCATGGAATGATTTGTTACTTTGGTGGGATATGAAATGGGTAACACCTGCTGCAGTTGTGGATTTGTTACATTGGTGGATGGGCTTTAAATGCAGAAAGATTATCATGAAACTCTGGAATTTAGTACCAATGGCTATGCTCTGGTCTATATGGAAAATGAGGAATGATTGCATTTTTAATGCGTGTACACCTAATCTTCAAGATTTGGGTGGTACTGTCATGTGGAGGGTGGCCTTATGGGCCAAATCCAACCTTTCAGGTTTCTCTTACTGAAGGCATGATATTGTGCACAACCTAAGGCAGATATTATTTTGTTGTTAAGTGTGCTGGCCTTTGTATCTGTGTGCTGATTGTTCTGATCTTTCTGTTTGGTCAGCTTCTGTGCTGCTAGTTGTGCCAACTTGCTTTGCTTTGTGCTGCTTGTTCTACTTTGGTGTCTATAATTTTGTTAGCTTGGTTCTGTTGATTACAGTTTGGTTCTGTAGTTCTGTAGTTTTGCTGTGAACTGTTTTGTCTTGTGATTGTCGTTTTGGTGTTCTGTTGGTTGCAGCTTTTATGTGTTGGAGTCTGTTGGTTGCTGGGTTGCTGGTTTGGGTAACATTGTCCCAGTGAGGGTCTGCTGGTCTTGCTGGTTAGGCAACTCTTCTTTTGGTCCTGGTTGTGCTGCTGTGCTGTGTAGTTGCTTGTGTGTATCTATTGGTTTGGTTAGTGATTGAGAAAAGAAGTGTTTTCTAGTTATGAAATGATGTATCAAAAGCCAATAATGGACTAATTACCCTTGTAATGTCTTTTAAATAAAAATTTTAAATCGGACATTTGTCCATTAAGAAAGAGGGACCCTGCCGATGTCACCCTATTTTGGGAGTTGTTCACATTCTTCTACAAAAATTAATTTATTATTTCTTCAATGTATGTTTGCATCACGCATTAAATTAGGCTATGTTTGGATGGCATGAATTATAGATATGGAATGGGAATCCCATTACTTGTAATAAGATTCTTGCATTTATGTCATTCAAATGCTTGGATTAGTAAAAATCCTATATGAAAAAGAAAAAAAATTTTGGCCCACCTTTTTTTTATAAACATTCTTGAATAGTTTGGAAATGTGAGATTCCCATGGGTTGTGGGAATGAGATTGCCACCATGTGGGGCAATCTCGTTTTGCCTTGTTTTAGGTAATCCGAATGACATTCCATGCCTTGGACGCACCAAATGGCAAAATGTAGGAGACATGAAATCAAATTCCCATTCCACGTTTCCATTCTCACTACCGAAATTCTTACACTCCGCTGCTGCACTTGTGATCTGTTGCATATTTGTTTATAAAAAATATTTCTTATTTATATTATTTTTCAGTTTATATATATCTTTGTTTCTTCTTTCTCTTATCAAAGGATTTTTTTTTTTTATATATATATTGCTTTTTGAATGTAATCTTCATTATTGGGACTTTCAGGCTGTCTCCTTTTCAAACTTATATGCACCCGAACATCTGATTATCAATGTTGAAGATGCAGAGAAGTGGGAGAGTTTCGTTGAGAATGCAGGTTAAATTTTGCGGACCTTTTATTCTCTCATATTTTTTATGATGATTTCTCTTGACTCGGCTATTGCTCTCAAAACACTACTTTCGTTAGGCATGTTTTTCCAATCTTTATTTGTTAAATTGATCACACTCTTCTCTCTCCATCAATATATTTTCATTATATATTTCACTTTCTTATAGAGAACGATGCTTTAAACCCATTGTTGATTATCCTGCAGGTTCTGTATTTTTAGGACCGTGGACACCAGTGAGCGTAGGAGATTATGCAAGCGGAACAAACCACGTCCTTCCGACTTATGGTTATGCCCGGATGTATGGAGGAGTATCTCTAGACTATTTCCTCAGGTACATGACCGTGCAATCCTTGACAGAGGAGGGCCTGAGGACACTTGGCCCTTACGTGGCCACTATGGCTGAAGTTGAAGGGCTCGATGCCCACAAGAGAGCCGTAACTCTCAGACTAAAGGACATCGAAAAATAACAGGTTCCCAATAGAAGATGATATCCGTAGGCCACACTTCATTTTCAGAATCAGTTTTCTACGAAGTACTAAAAGCTCGTTTGGTGAAAATGAACAAAAATATGTTTTCGGATTTTCAAAAACAATTTTTGCACAAAAATGAAAATAATATGAAAACGGAGTTTTTGCATTTTTCTTTATTTTTCACCAAATTAGTTTTTGTGTTTTTCAAAAAACAAATTCTAAAAATGAAACTAAACAGAGTTGTATGATGTTTGATGGACCATCAAATCTATGTTTCGGTCTGCTGTGTTTTCAAACTTAATCAAACATGAGCAAAATTTGCACGGTTTATGTGAGCATGAATTTTTTTAAAATGTAGTATGAAATATGTTAAAAAAAAAAATTGTATTTTAGTTGTGTGAATTGCTTGAACACTCACATTTTTAATGGAGTATGCACAAATAATTTTATTGGTGGCTTTGCTTTCTCTAGGGTTTTATTGGAATAGGTGATTGAAAAGAACAATGAGAATAGCATTGGAACTATTGGTTTACTAGTTTTACAAGCAATCATTGAAAGAACGCAACGCCGCAGTATACTCACCTTCAAAATAATTTTTAAGGTACAAATTTTAGGAACAAACAGCCTTTTAAGGTCCGAACATAAACTAGTATAAAATTAGAACTATGACCAAGTCATGCACATCTTGGAAGTTGGAACCCCCACTACTAAAAATTGGAGCTTTTGCGACGTCTTAAATGTCGCAAAAGGTTCACATATCGTTGCAAAAGACTTTTTGTGAGACGGAAAATGAGGGATGGCGGAAAGGGACGTGACAAAAAGTATTTGCGACAGTTACAAACCATCACTTTCTTATAGCGACGGCTAATCAATGGTTTTTGTGACGGTTTAACCTGACACAAAAAAAGGAAAAAAAAACTTCACTTTTAGTGACGATGTTGGTTGCCGTCGCCAAAAGTATTATTAGCGAAGATATTTGGCGTCGCGAAAAGTATTATTAGTGACGGTCTAAAATGTCGCAAAAAAGTAAAATTAAATTAATATTGTATTTGCGACAGTTTAAACCGTCGCGAAAAGTATTATTAGCGACGGTCTAAAACGTTGCAAAAAAGTAGAATTAAATTAATACCATATTTGCGACAGTTGAAACCGTCGCTAAAGATTTGAATTACGATGTATGTGCGACAGGTTAACCCATTACTAATAAAATGTAAGGAAATGATGATTACATTAACGACAGTTTATTATTGTCGCAATAAAATTATTTTCATAAAATCAACATATATTTTATTAATTCATTCCCTGTACAAATTATTAATATTTTCTAAAATAAAATACATCCACATCCAAACACATCCACATCCACATCCAAACACATCTACATCCACATTCACATCCACATCCACAAAATCATATGTATATATATATATATATATATATGTACCATGTAACAATTGTCAACCAAATATTCTTTACAAAAATATATAAAACATCCTCTAACAATACTAATAACTTTTTATATTCAAGAACTTAAATTTTTGTATCTAAAGCAAAACAAAAGTATTGACAATATAAATTAAATATATATATATTATAACTTGTTTTAATATATATCAACAATAAGCTCTATTATATCAATATGTGAAGATATCATCACATACTCAAAAGGAGTTGAATCTGCAAAAAGAAACCGAAAAAAAAAATCATCATTTACAATATAATTAATTTCATGCTTACAGAAAATGTAAAACATTTGATATTTATTTCAATAAATAAATAAATAAATAAGATTGTAACCCGCAATATCGATATGCGAATATATCATCACATACTCAAAAAGGTTGCATCTGCAAAAAGAAAACGGAAAAAAAAAAATTATTTACAATATAATTAATTTCAAGCTTATAGAAAATGTAAAACATTGAATATTTATTTCAATAAATAAATAAATACATAAATAAGATTGTAAGCTCCAATATCAATATGCGAACATATCATCATGTACTCAAAACGGTTGCATCTGCAAAAAAAAACCAACAAAAAAAAATCATTTATAATATAATTAATTTCAAACTTACAGAAAATGTAAAACATTTGATATTTATTTCAATAAATAAATAAGATTGTAAGTTCAATATCGACATGTAAAGATGTCATCACGTACTCAAAAGAGTTTGTAAAGGACAATTTTTCACAAACGGAATTTAGGCTCCAGATTCAAAACTGGAAAGCAGTTTCGAGTCTCGTCTTTTTCTACAAGTCATTTGTGCCTAGTTAGTTGTGTGTGTCAAGTTTCTTTGACATCCGATGCCGTTTGAACATTTTAGTTCGAAAGAGAGTTTCTAAAGAACAAGCTTTCATTAACAGAAACTAGGCTCTGGATTCAAAATCGGGAATCGGTTTCAAGTTCCGTCTTCTCTTACAAGTCATCTGTGCCTAATTAGTTGTGTGTGTCAAGTTTCGTTGACATCCGACGCCGTTTGAGCATTTTGGTGTGTCAACCGGTTTGAAAAATAGTTTCAAAAGAACAAGTTTTCACAAGCAGAAATTTGGCTCTAAATTCAAAACCGAGAAGTAGTTTCGAGTTCTGTCTTCTCCTACAAGTCATTTGTGCCTAGTTACTCGTGCCATTTGAGCATTTAGTGTGTCAACCCGTTCGAAAAAGAGTTTGTAAAGGACAAGTTTTCACAAACGGAAATTTGGCTCCAAATTCAAAACCAGAAAGCGGTTTCAAGTCCCGTCTTTTTCTACAAGTCATTTGTGCCTAGTTAAGTTTCGTTGACATCCAATGTCGTTTAAGCATTTTAATGTGTCAATCGTTTCGAAAAAGAGTTTCTAAAGAATAAATTTTCATAAATGGAAACTAGGCTTTAGATTCAAAACAAGGAATTTGTTTCGAGTTCCGTCTTCTCCTACAAGTCATTTGTGTCTAGTTAGTCATGTGTGTCAAGTTTCATTGACATCCGACGCTGTTTGAGCATTTTGGTGTGTCCAGGATTATCAGCTCATTCCCCTCAAGATTATGTTAATGTTGCCCAGTAGGGAACGCTGCCTTCTAATCTCCAAAACATAACTCATCAACCAAGTTAAGTAAATATACAAATTATTCTATTCCTCTGTTTAAATAACATGTATATAAATTTCATATTGGAATTTCCATCAATAACATGTCTCTTTTGTTAATATGTCTAGTTATAAGTGCTATTTTATTGGAGAAGGTTCCTAACAAGAGATTAAATTCTACACAGCTGTCCCACAGCCAATCAAATTCTGCCACCTCACAAAATTCTGGACCTCACTGAAATTTTACCACTCTTTACCTACTCCCTGCCGTTTTCCTCTGCGACTCCTTTTCCCCTCTCCTGCAGCAACTGCCGATGACTGTCACTCCCTCACCATCCATCACTGCCACTTCGATCCCCATCTCCAAATTCCCGGACCGTGTTCATAAATTGTCGTTGGACATTGGAATAACAACATTCAAATACAACTAGGGAATTTACAAAGAAATTGCAGGAATTTAATTGTAGTAATATTTAACTAAGATGCTAGAGATGTATAGCTTCAAAAGCTCTGGGAAAAACAGGGCCAACCAAAAAAACAGCTGTACTGTTTTTTTAAAACGGTTCAATAAAACTAAAGATTGATCTACAAACTTACACGCATACTGGCATTATTAGTCATCATTAGAGACAAATTGAACCCCCAAGAATGCTGAGCTGGCATATCATCCAACATATGCAGAGACACTGGTGTTTGATGCAGCAACAAAACTGAGCCGACACCAATTTTAAGTGTCAAAATCATACCGGGGTTGTATAGTGCAATATTCATGCATCTTTGCACTCTTCGGTTGTCATTCTATCCATGGAAAGAGTTAAAGAGCGTTTTACGAGAATAAAATTTATACTAGCAAGACAATTTTCATAAAATCTAAAATGAGCACATTACACATGCATATATATGGTTTGTATCAGAATTCCATGAAATGGTACAACTCAAAACTTTAAAAACCACCATAGTGGTGCCATTGACACAAGTTTAGGCATCTTATGTCTAAGTAAGACAACATTTAATAAGCAAAAGAGATTTGTTTAATATATATGGGACATCAAAATGCATCAATCAAATTAAAACAAAAGAACAAGTTCAATTTGTGTGTAATTTGTAATCTTCACAATTGATTGTAGCATAATTGTCGTATGTTCTAAGTAGTTTATGGAAATTGTTGTCACCTATTGATTGCTCAAGCAAGTAACACTGTAGCGGAAACTAAGATTTTAAACTGGCACCCAGAATAGTAGTTACCTTGTTAAGTTCAATACAAATGGAGCAACAGACAGCTGGATGAGGCACTAAAAAGCATGGCAGGTGAGGCAGCCACTCAACGAACTGATCTGGCGAGTGCGGCGGAAAGATATGAGCTTATTGGATGTCTTGACAACTTGATGGGATTGATTTGTTAACACCGACCTCCACATTTCTTGGGCTTTCTTTTGAGCTGATCTCAGTTTCTTCATAATCTTATCCATGGATGATGATCTCAGTTTCTTCAATAATCCTAATTACCAAAACCTCATGGAAATTTTGTTGTAGACTAGTACTAGGGTTTAAAAATGCAGATCTTAAGAAAGCATCGTTAAATGTCATAGCACTTCAATGACATATAATGAAGATAAAACATGGTAGAATTTCATTGAAATGCTCTTACATAATTGATCCATGCCTGAAAGATATCTAAAAGTTTATGGTAACCTCACGCACACAGGATGGATGAATGATCTAAATGCTTCTTGACAAATTCAAATATGCAATGTGGAAAAGATTTCAAAGAACCTCAAGTTTCCTTATTGCTGCCTCAGCTTTTTCCATCTCAAGGTTCTTTCATGCAGTTATTTTGGCTTCCTCCCTCTTCATTCTGAATCAATGAATAAATATTTTATCATTTTCTATATAACCATGCATTTTTTAAGAAGATTGTACACAGGTTCTGGGAATTTTTCAGAAACAATTAGCAGAGAGGAATTGAAGTACTTGTAGTGTAATATAATCAAGAAATTGAAGTTTATGACATTAGAACACACACACATACACACCCAAAAAAAAAAAAAAAAACTATTCTTAAATAATTGCAAGAAATAATCTGAAGTCTATTCGCATCAACAGGCCTATAAACAAGAAAAACATGAGTTGGATGATAACAAAATACATACTTAGAAATGCTTTTCGCTGCCTCTGAAACTTCTCAAGCAGAAGATCGAACCTCGACAGCTTTCTTCTTCCAGTCATCGACATTTTCTGAGCCTCTCCCAGGAAATCAAGCTCTGTGTTTCTTGGACCACCTAGTCACAGTGACCCGTTCATCAACCTGTATATCTCTAACTTTTAATTTAGAGGTCTTGGGACTTTCCAACTCCACAATGGGAAGGACAGATGGAGTTGATGGCGAGAAAGACAGCCTACTGGAAGATGAGTAGGGGCTACCCTCTGGGCTCATCTGGGTTGCCATATCCCTCCTTGAAACATCTCGAGAAATATTGGTGGCTGCATCCTTATCACTATCAAATTTCTCATCTGTATGTTTCATCCAATAGAAACAAGCCACAAACAGAAATAAAGAAGAACAATAGCTTTAGCATTTACATATCAAAAAAATTAAGTAAATAAATAAATAAACAGCTCCAAAATGGCAATATGTACAAGTGGAAAAGAAATTAAGGCTGGTATGCTTCGTGCATGTCACACATTACGAAGTTCATATAAGGCAAGAGGAGCATGTTGAACAAGCTTTGAAAGCATTATATTATACCTCATGTCCATCCACCTAAACATTAAAAAATTCCCCAAACATTTTGGAAACTCAATCTATTCATTGTTCAATTTCGCAATCAACAATTCAATGTGCTTTAGCTCTATAGTGACCCCGGTCTTTTCCCATTTGATTATTATATCCGGACTTAGGTTCCGTAGATTCTGTCATTGTATAATTGTTGTTGTTGTCCCTTATTTGGGACAAAATTATCAATGATAATGTATAAATTTGGTATTTCTATAAAGTCTGATGAGGCATCATATTTCCAAAAAAGTGAAATCAATAAAAAAAAATCAACAATGACTATGTCAGTTACACAGAAATTGTAATTGATATCACATGATTTTCTATTTTTTATCAAATCATGCGTCCAGTGAATGCTATCAAGAAAATAAATACTAGGCATTGTGTAACTAGTTAGTCAATGATAATTTTTTTTGATCAACGAGTCAATTTCTCTATAAGGTATGGGAAACCTATAATCAACTATTAATCCACTGATTTCTTTTTTTTTTTTCATAGACTAAAATTAGCTACAATGTTACCCAGCCTAATTTCTGAAAAGGTTCATGGCAGAATTGATACAGAAATGAATTATTGTTGCTGTCATTCACTTGCAAACATGGATAGTTTGCAAGGGAAATAAACAAACACATGGTGTGCAAAACAAATACACATGGATAGTTTCACTCTAACACAAGCTTAGACTTTCACATATATGATATACATAGAAAACATATTCTTTGAAAATGTATATTGAAAATTTGGGTGGTGGGCCAGCTTGGTGAATCATCTGCTAAAAAAATCAAGAGCAAAAAAAGAAGTCATTTTGACCAAAGCTGTTGGTACAATGTAGAACACAAACAAAATCTAAATCAGTAAATAGAATAAAAAAAACAATAGGTAGAGGCAAAAGCAAAAACAAATACCATGAAGATGGTTTGATTCCTATGAAGGCAAAAGAAGAGAAAAAGAGGAGAGGACAGATGAGGAGAGCAGAGGATAGATATACCTGGATGTCGGAGGGAGAACATGTGCGAAGTCGCCGCCGCTGCTGCTACAGAAAGCCTGTGAGGGTAACGCGACAGCGAGAGCAAAAGCAAAAGAGAGATATTGTGAGGGTCTGTGTGAGCGAGTGTTTGAGGAGAGAAGGGTAACCTGGAACTCTTCTATGCTGATACTGTTGGGGCTGCGAGATAGACGATTGGGAGCGAGAGAGACAGAGTGACGACTAGGTTTTTTTCTGGAGTGGACGATTTTTTCCTTTTTGTTGATCTGATGGAAGAGGCTACTGCAACGGTGGAAGAGAAGGAAAGAGGCAGGGTGGAGGAAAAAAAAAACCTTTTGCAACGGTGGAACAAACGGCGTCGCAAAAAAAATAAAACAATCGCAAAAAAAAAAAAACAAACACGACCGGTAACAACTCGTCGCAAAAGGTACTATTTTTTGCCACGGAATTGGATTTTCCGTCGCAAAAAAACTACTATTGCAACGACTTCGTTTGCCACTGCAAAAACATGGTTTTTGCGAGGATTTTCAAACTGTCGCAAAAGGTTCTATGGCTAAAGCTCCTTTTTCTAGCATAGAATAAACAAAACAATGAGACTGTTTGTTACAGCTTTTGGGGTGATTGTAATTTATTTTAATTTGGGAGTTTGTGCTAAACTGTTTGATGCAGCTTCTGCTTATAGTTTTTTAAGCAAAAATAACTTAAATAAGCTGGAAAAAAAAAACTAATTATTTGAAAGCTGAGGTAAGGGTGTTTTTAACTTCTGTTTTTTTATTATCAACTTTTACTTTTAAAAAAAATCCACCAAACAGGGCCAAAGCCATTTGTCCTTCCACAACAAACTCTTTCTACTCAATAACCATGCAACAATGTTTACGTAGTACTCTAAATCAATGACAGAAATTTTAGGGATGTGATATACTAAGCCACCTTTGTTAGGTAATTAAGAGAAAAAATATATATTGTCATTTCTTATTTATCAAAAATAATACAGACAATACTATATGAAACTTCAAATATCTAATAATTGTCTCAAAGGACAAGTTGTTCAGTCTGAGCCAAAACTAAGCACAACACAAAGTTTACATATTGTTATCAAGTGGCAAAAGAGTATTGACTATTTCAAGTAGCACAGGGCAAATATGCTTTACACCATTCTTGTATCAGTTCTTCTACATAGAGCAGAAATCAATCATAGAGTGGGACACAATTCTCAATTTTGTGATTGAATTCTGTGTTTTCTTCTGACAACTCTACCTATTAAAAATTATACCAAATAATTTGACACTCTATTAAAATGTTTAAGTCAACTCTATGTTTCTCATTTATTCTTTAATTATCAATTAATCATTTCATTGACACATCACTAGATCTGGAAAGTGTGTCTACAAATTAAATTGGGTAAATTACACTTTGCCCCCCCTAAAGTTTCACCCATTTCCTACTTTGTCCCTTTAAGTTTAATTTGTCTCACTTTGATCCTTCATGTTTACAATCATTTCCACTTTGACCCTTTAAATTTTTTTCATTTTGGCCCTTCATGTTTGCAATCCATCCAACTTTGGCCCTTCAAATTGTACTTATAAAGAGGATCTTAAGATGTTTTGAAATCTTGTCTGGCATGAGAATTAATTTTCATAAGAGCGTTGTGTGTGGAGTTGGAGTTGGAGTGGAAGAGGATACTTTGGCCTCTTTCGCAGATATTCTGAATTGCAAGGTCCATGGCCTACCACTTAAATTTTTGGGGCCACCATTAGGTGCTAATCCAGGTAAGAAGTCTACCTGGAAGCCAGTTTTGGATAAAGTAAGATCTAGGCTGTCTGGGTGGAAGTGAAGGCTCCTTTCCTTTGCAGGTAGATTAACTTTGATTAAGTCTGTTTTATCCAGCCTTCCTATTTATTATCTATCTTTGTTTAAAATGCCTTTTGGAGTGGTTAGAGAGATTGAAAGGTTGGAAGCTTCTTTCCTCTGGGGAGGGAATGGTTTAAAGAGGAAGGTACATTTGGTGAAGTGGGCTGAAGTATCAAAAAATAAGAATCAAGGCGGGTTGGGGATTAGGAGAATCAAGGATGTCAATGACAGTTTGATTCTTAAATGGTGGTGGAAATTTGAAAGTGAAGTAAATGCCCTTTGGAGAAGATTGTTGTGCAGTAAGTATATGATTGAGAAGGCTTATTGGATGCCACCAGTGCACTCATCATCTATCCACTCCAGAATCTGGAGTGATGTTCTTGCAACTGCTGGTCGTAATCCACCTTTAGTGGAGTTCTTTTTGGGGAAGTATCAGATAAAGGTTGGTAATGGGTGTAGAATCAAGTTTTGGTATGATAAGTGGGTCGGTGATAGGTGTTTTAAAGACAAGTTCCCTAGACTTTTTAGTTTGTCAAATGATAAGGAAGGTACACTATCTTATTATTCAGCAAGAAAATCCAGTGCGGAGGAGTGGAACTTATCTTTCCGAAGGGATTTATATGATTTGGAGAAGGAGGAGGTTGCTAGTATGGTTGCAATTTTAAGGGAGGCTCCTTCTCTGCGGGTTGATGTAGAAGACTATCCTATTTGGAATGGGTCTCTTGGTGGTAGTTTCAAGGTTTCTGATCTCTATCGATTCTGTGATGCTAGTATGGGCCCTCAAGTCAAAATTTGTAAGTTTGTGTGGAATAATGGTATTCCCTCCAAAGTCCAATTTTTCAGGTGGTTGGCTTGGAGGAATAGAGTTAAAACAGGGGACTTTTTACAACATATCGGTGTCCTTAATAGTAATGCATATATCTTGTGTGCCTTTTGCAAAACTGAAAATGAATCTGCTTCTCATGTTCTATTACACTGTCCATTTTCTTGGCAAGTTTGGTCTGATCTAATGCTATGGTGGGGGTGTGTTTGGGTGATGCCAAGGACTATTGATTGTCTATTTCATTGGCGGATAGGTTGGGATTATAAGAAGGTGGTTAGGAGATGGTGGAGAGCCTTACCTTCTATTGCTCTATGGTCCATTTGGAAGTTAAGAAATGATTGTATGTTTAATGGAGTGCGGCCATGTGGGTCTGAGTTATGTGAGACCATTAAGATCATATTTGCTTTGTGGGTTAAAGCTTCCTCTAAGGGATTCATGTACTCTACCATGGAATTAATTAACAATCTGGATCAGATTAAGCAATACAGCTGAGGTGCGATGTTGAATTTGCTGTGTGGGTCCAGTTTTGGTTGCTGGTTTCTGGTCTGTGTTTTGATATGCTTTGCTGATGTATGCTTTGACGAAGCTTTTGGTGTTGGGCTTAGTGGCTTAGTTGGGTTAGCCGATGTATGAGATTGCTATGGTCTAGGCAGATAATTTGAGGTGTCCTTAGACTTAAGTGGTTTGAGTAGAGGGGCAAGCATTGGGATATATTGCTGGAATCTGGTCTGCAGTTGTGGTGTTCTGTTTGCTAATGTATTCTGCAGATGGTGGCTGCTGTGGTGCTTTGTTTGGCCTTCAAGTGGTATGATGCTTTGTTGTGGCTGTATGGTATGAGGCTGGGGAGTGGTGGATGGCTGCTGTTTTTTGGTGTCTGAATGGCTTATGGTGGCTGTTGTGTCCTATTTGCTAATGTGTTCTGCAGATGGTGGCTACTGTGGTGCTCTGTTTGGCCTACAAGTGGTATGATACTTGTTGTGGTTGTATGGTCTGAGGTTGGGGAGTGGTGGATGGCTGCTGTCCTCTGGTGTCTGAATGGCTTATGGTGGCTGCTGTGTGCTCTGTTTGGCCTACAAGTGGTGCTGCTGTGCTTTTGAGATGTAAGGGTTGGATGGCTGCAGTGATCTGCAGGTGGATGGCTGCAGTGATCTGCAGGTGGATGGCTGCTGTCTTTCGGTGTCTAGGTGTAGCTTTGCTCTAGCCCTGTCTGCTGTCATCTGCTGTCTGTGAACTCAGGATTGCTGTTTTGTTATGTTATGCCTCTGGTGTTGTTTTGGGGATCTTGTGCTACCAGGTCTACTGCTGGCAACTTAAGGAATGTGATGCTGGTTTGATGGTGCTCTGTCTGGTTTGGTTGGTTAGTTGTTGTGTGCCTCTGTCTTGGGTAAGTTGGGGAGTGGTTCTGCAGGTGGATGGGTATGGATGGCTGCTGTGTCTTGCAGTAGGCCTTCTTATGGAAACTCAAGGAATGTGATGGTCTAAATTGGTGTGTGGGTCCTGGTTTTGTTTCAGGTAGAACAAAAGATTTGTTGGTTGTATAAGGAGTTCTCTATATAGTGTTGCTAATAGAGAGGTGGAATGTTCTGAACTGATATGGTGAATCAGTATGGATGCTAATCTGATATGGTGTAATGCTGGGCTTGGATGTTTGCAGTGTCCACTTTGTTTGTTTTTTGTTTTTTTTGTTTTTGTTTTTTTGCAGTGTTATCTTGGTCGTTTCTCGTTGGTCTCTCACCAACTCTGGGGGTGCTAGCAAATGATAGGATGAGCTAGATGGTGCCAGCCTCATTGGGATGATTTATCCTATTGTGATGCCTTTGCACCTCCCTTCTTTCTTTTTTGATGTAATTTGCTTTGTACTATTTTCTTGTTTTATTCCATCAATAAAGTTCTTTTTTGCCGATCAAAAAATATATATATTTGCCATCCTCCCCACTTTATTTCTAGACTAACTTCCATCCAAAAAGCTAATAGAATCTCCCACATCATTAACACATTAGTTCCATGTGTGATGTAAAAAATCACTAAAGATGCAAAAAATAAAAAATAGAAAACAAAAAAATTGAAATTTTTTTTAGTCTTCAGTGAACTTTTTTTTAAAAAAAAAATTTATTCATAAACATTTTTACATTATAGATGCATCTAGAATAGATGCAACTAAAAAAATAAAAACAAATTTAACTAAAAAAAGAAAAAAAGTTTAGTAAAGACCAAAAAAATAAAAATATACTGACTCAAATACTTGTATTTTCAATTATGAAATGAAAATTTTACTATCGTTTTTTTTGTCTTTACTGAACTTTTTTCTTTTTTTAATTAAATTTATTTTTATTTTTTCAGCTGCATCTAATCTAGATGTATCTATAATGTAATAATGTTTATGAATAAATTTGAAAAAAAAAGTTTGCTAAAGACTAACAAAAATTCTAATTTTTTTGTTTTTTATTTTTTATTTTTTGCATCTTTAGTGAATTTTTTACGTCACATATGGAGCTGATGTGTTAGTGATGTGACAAATTCTGTTATTTTTTTGGATGGAAGTTAGTCTAGGAGTAAGGATTGCAAACATGAATGGTCAAAGTGAGAAGGACTCCAAACATGAAGGGTCAAAGTGAGAAAAATCAAACTTAAAAGGCCAAAGTGGGAAGGATTGCAAACAT